AAACAGTGAAAACGTGAGAGATACGAGATTTTTCCAATAGGCAGAATAACGTCAAGAGAAGTATGCAGAGAAGGGTAATCGTTCTTGACCCTAGCTCAACACTTAGCAGCCTCTAGCCAACAGTTAGTGTTCGGACCACGAGAAAGTTATTAGACACTTGAACTATTATTAACAGTCTTTGGTCACGGTTTTACTGCACTGGTCATCATTGACCATTTCAAAACGGAAAATAGACATACCAGGAGCGGGTACGGTTCAGTCATGGCCAGTGCGATGGAATCTAGCAGAGAGATCGGGAAAAGCACGATGAGAATTACGCTTACGCTACATCGGGACAAAGTGGAAGGCTGGGAAGAGAGCGCTATCAGAGATGCACCTTACCAAATCGAGATGATGAGGGAACATGCATGGGATTTGGTGAGAGGATAGGGTGTCGTTGAGTATACTATTTATTTCTATGGGTCCAACGGGGAGTTGCATAGCACAATTTCGCGCAGTGAGTTTATTGAGCAGGCAAAGTGAAAGGAAGTCGTTCGTCAATAGTTTTGTCTCAGTAATTACAGTCTTCTGAGAACAACCCTACCTGTGCGTGTTTGGTCACTCTCGAGTGAGCTATTGCAGACTATCTCGACTGTACAGCAAGGCTAGCCAAGTACTAGCTTCGGTATTATCAGGATCTCTGAACAATTTGCATTCTTTCATCCTCCTCTTCTAAAGGATCTCGCTGGCGGATCTAATCAGTAAGTGATGCATGGTTCTCGGTACTCAACACCTTTAACAGTGGACAACACTGAACACAACTACTAATGCACAGTGCTTAGTTTTGTTGGCAGAGATCAGAACATGACTCAGTTTTCAGTGAACCCAGTGCCGCGGTTGTAACCGAGCAGCATACATCTGATTCTCAGACAAGTATCCAGCCGGTGGTTAAGTGACTCCTATCTAGTTCTCTAGGCGGTTTGTCGGTCAGATTAATTAACCTACAAAACCGACAACAGCCAGTCTGTTTCCAGAACAGCAATCGGATCAGCAAGAAATCAGTCCAAGCAGCCAGGATCAAGTGTTYTGACCAGTGGTAATCTGAAAGGCAATCAGATCGGTAAGCAAWTTTGCAATCAGATCAGTAAGCAATTTTGCAATCAGTTYAGTAAGCAATTTTGCAATMAGTTCAGTAAGCARTTTTGCAATCAGTTCAGTAAGCAGTTTTGCAATCAGATCAGCAACAGAATCTGCAATCGAATCGGCAATCGGTTCAGCATACACGTCATTAATTTAACAAGTGATTTAGTAATAAGAAACTGCAGTTGGAAACGACAATCAAGAACAACTATTCAAAACAGCAATCAATCATCAGCAATCAGTTATTAGTGATCAATTATTAGTGATCAGTTTCTAGCAATCAGTTTCCAGCAATCAACTTCCTGCAATTAGTCCTATAACTAGTTCTCCGGGACCATCTGGTTGGTCTGCACTGGCAAGAGTACTCATGAGCACAGTTCAGTCTACGCCGGTCAGTGAGTCAGTGTTGGCCAGTCTCAACCGGTTTTCATGCAAGGAGGCATTCCGTTATCAGTATGTTAGTGCCATTGCTTTCAGACAGGGAGATCTGTCAATTTTCGTTGTCCAGACTAGCTTTACTGATGACACTATCCACGATCTGAGGCCTTACCTGAAGAAGGGCAAGGAGGCTCATGAACTTTTCGACCCAGTTTGGATCTCAGCCACGGAATATCTCGAGCAGAGAGAGAGAGAGAGTTCGATGAGAGTGGCACTACGCTGATCCGCAGCTTCGGGCCTATGCTCTATACTGACTATCCTAGGCCTCCAGTCCCTTCTCTTCTCACAGATGGCACGAGTTGGTTGGATGTGATTGGATTGGCAAAGGGGTACATCTCTCCGGCGGTGATCGACATTGAGGCATTAACCGAGCCCACCGAGTATCCCTACCTCGGACGAGGAGTCTTTTCAGTGGACGGGCTGCCTACATTGTGGGAGGAGTTCTGCTCTATGGTTAATTACCGTGTCATGTGCCTCGGATGGTCTTGCTCAGAGCTTGCTGGCTACAGGTGGCTTTTTGTCACGAAGCCTCAGTCTCAGATTGTACGAGGGCGTGGGTCTCGACACCAGACGAGATCAGTGAAAAGATAAATTGAGAAAGACTGACCAGAGGGATGAGTGAGGACTCTTGAGAGGTGCTGACCATACCCGTTTACATGTACTTTCTGAGATTATTATGAGTTCTCATTCTTCCCTCATTCAATTGCCTCTGTCTCTGCTTGAGTCATTCAGTCTTATTTTTCTGCATCATTCTTGCTTGATGAATGCCCTCGTGGATGTTTTGTCACAGTTCTCAAATCAGATTGATATAATTGATGCATGCATAACACACCATAATTTTACGATTATTACTTGCATAATTCTCTGCTGTTCCGAATCAAAATAAAAGATTCCTAAGACCGGGGACCGGCGAAGACTGCAATTGAAGGGCCTCGCTCGAAGCCGGACGCACACAACAGGAAGGGATTTGCATTATTTAATTTATTTTATTCATTGCAAACACGTACAAAATCGTGTGTGACAGCCTGTTGGCTTTCCGGTCGCCAGAAGCGGACTGACTGGGAAAAGTGCGACAGCGCGCGCGAGCGCGCGCGCGAGAGAGAGATAAAAAGGTTCTCCCTCTTCTTCTGCTTCTTCTGCTTCTTCTTCTTCTTCTTCTTCTTCTTCTTCTTCTTCTTCTTCTTCTTCTTTACGAGGGCCCGCGGCGCACGATCGCAGGAGGTCGCCGCGGCTGCGCTGCCATCGCCCAGCGCGCGGTCGTTGGCGGGCACCATCGTGGCGCGGCCTTTTTCCGCGCACGACGATTTTAGTGCCCGGCCGCGGCCGATCGCGGCCGATCAAGGCCAATTGCGGCCGATATCGGTCGATCGGGGCCGAACTAGGCCGATCGCGGCCGGGTACTCCAACGGCCTGAAAGGGGCCGAGAACGGCCAGGTCCGGCCGGGCCGAGGAGGACTGCGACATCGGGGCCCGCGGAGGCTGCGACGGCGTCGGGGCCAGTCATCGACAGAGCGTCGGGAACGACGACATCGACGGACGACACGACAACTGCGACGCTTTGAGTCAAGGGAGGATGACGGGGGGTGCGGGGACCAGCGGTACGGGGGGTCTGCGGGTGGGGGGTTCATCACGCAGTCTGAGAGGGAGATGGCGAAGTTGAGGCGGGGGAACTTGGTGTGGAACTTCGTCACCGCGGAACAACATGTGGGGAACCAGGCGAAGATGCATGGGGACCGAAAGTTACGTTGCAACTTTTGCGGCCACTTGTTTGAGGGGAATGTGGAGAAGGCCGCGTGCCATTTCACGCAGGCCAACTACTGCAAGGCTGCGGGGATGAGAGTTCTCGCGAAAATATGGAACGACACGGACTACACATTGAAGCCCGCGACTGCTCGGCGGGTGCAGAGGTGGATGGCTGACGAGGGGGTACAGGACACGAGAGCGGCTGCGGGTGGGCAGCGATAGCGGATGGACGAGGGAGAGAGGGACGAGATTCAGGACGCCCTTGATGAGGACGAGGGTCTCGAGGGTGGGGTTGGGGAGGGGGGGACGGATGACGAGGCAGTCGGAGACCCTGACCTGCCAGGGACTGAGGGGAGGAGGTGGTGATGACATCGAGAGGCGTCGGTCGAGCGGGTCCCGCTCCTAGGGCACCACGACCTGAGTTGGACCGCGCGAGGAGGGAGAAGAGGAAGGTGGGGGAGGGCGACGTCGAGGTGTGAGAGACGGCCAGGGAGAAGAGGGCTTGGCAGACGACGATCGACGAGATGTACGACAAGGAGAAGTTGGTCGAGTTCCATGACGCGTGGCTGCAGTGGATCTACGCGAAGGGGTTGGCATTCAACGCCTTCCGAGGTCCGGAGTTCTAGAGGGTTCGGCGGACGGCAGAGAGAGTGCCGCAGACAATTCAGTTCCGGTTTCCTTCGTACAGGGTTACAACGGGCACCGGGATCCCTTCGCAGAGGGGGAAGGTGGCGTCGATGGTGAGCGATGTGCGCTCTGCTTTCCGGCACACCGGTGCCACCATCCTCTCGGACTGGAGGAAGTCGCGCAGCGGCAAGCCGCTCGTGAACTTCCTCGCCGGGGGCGCCAACGGCGCCCTGCTGTACGCCACCGTCGCACGTGACGGGTCTGTCCGTGACACTGCGGATATCGTGTACCGCAGGTGGCAGGCCATCATCTTGTCCTTTCCTGCAAAGGACGTGATTGGCTTCTGCACAGAGTCCGCTAGTAACTATACAGCGGCAGCGCGCAGATTCGCCACATACGAGGACCCTTCCATCAGAAGGACCACTTGGCTTCGCTGCTCCACCCATGTCTGCAACTTGATGTTGTCAGATATCGGGACGCGAGTGGGGTGGGTCAAGGACACCATCATCCGTGCACGAGCGTTAGTGAGATTTATTAAATCACACGGCGCTGCTCACGCCCTGTTTAGGAAGGTGAGCCCTCGCGTTCAGCTCGTCAAGCCCCGTCGAGACACGGTTCCCATCGTTTTTTCTAATGCTGACGTGTCTCAAAGGCCGACGAGACGCGCTGGAGAGCATGCTGCACGGGGATGCTTGGGCACGCATCCCGTGGGAGCGCAGGCTTGTCACCCAGACGTAGTGGGTGCAGTAGCAAATCCGCGACGGGGAGTTTTGACGATGTGTCCACTACGCCATCTGTGTCATGGCGCCCGTCCACCAGCTGCTGCGGAGGATGGATAGGGGGGGGATGATGATGTCCATCGTTTACGAGTGGAGTCAGCATGTGTTGCAATTGATGAGGAGGGTCGACGTGCCGACGGACATGATCGAGCCGTGCGTGCGCGAGGTTGCCATCCGCAACCTCCACATGCTCGAGCCCGCACATGCCGCAACACACCTCCTCAACCCTCGTCGACGGTCCCTTCGGTATTACGAGTCGTTGCAGACGACCAGTGATGACGCCCGCGTGGTTGAGGAGTGCGACAAATTTCTCCTCGCACAGAGCAGACTGTATATGACCGTTCGCGACCAGATGAGGCATTTCCATTCGAGGCGAGGAGACTGGGGAGATCGGCAGCTGTCCGATGCCGAGGCGGGCGATTGTAGGGGAGACCGCGAGAACGAGCGTTGTGCGGCGTGGTGGTTTGCCCATGGACGTCACCACCCGGAGTTGCGTACCATCGCCATCCGTGTCATGCACTTGTGGACGTCCGCCTCTCCAGCAGAGAGGAACTGGGCGCAGCATGAGCGCATTAACACGGCGAGGCGCTGCAAGCTTGGGTTTGCCAAGCTTGCACAGCTGGTTGAGATTGCCACCAGTCTCAAACTGGCCGCGTGCGCACAGCAGGGTGGTGGCTACGTATTGCCATGGGTTCAGGGGACCGGTCGGGAGGGGACAGCGGGAGAGGAGGAGGATGACGAGGCAGACATGGAGCCCGAGGTGTGGGGAGCGCGACCTGCTGGCAGTGTTCGCGAGCAGGAGATCCAGCAACAGGTCGTCGCTTTCCATGACAGCTGACCGTCCAGAGCCCGTGCGGTTCAGGACGTGTTCGGCCAGAGGGCGGCGGAGCTGCGACCATGGCCAGAGGCGGTTGACGACGGTCCAGACGGKGATGCAGATGACGACGACCCCTGTGACGAGTGGACCGACGATGATGACGCGCCCGTCAGTGGCGACGCGACGGCAGAGCGGGTGTACTTCACTTACGGTGGAGGACCTGACGGCATGGGTTCACACACATCGGTCATCACAGATGATGTGCCGTCGACTGGACAGGCTAGTGGCACCAGCAGAGGTGGTGGTCGTCGTGGACGACGTCCGAGTGCGGCCGACGTGTTGGAGCAGGAGCCACGGGGAGGCCTTCGGACGACGGGCAGGCGTTGGGAGGTTAGGAGCGACAACGAGCGCGAGAGGGAGGCCGAGGGGAAGGGGGAAGTGCCCCATCAGGATCGTCGCTACTCTCCCTCCCATCATCGAACCACTGCAACTCCCGAGGCATTTAGGCGTTCGGAGAGGTTGGCGTCGACAACAGGGAGAGAGCGAACGCATGACAGCGAGGAGCGTGAGGGGGAGAGGACTCCTTCGGGCTCCGGTATCCGCCCCCGCTCGCCGTCGGAGCTCCGTACAGACGACTTTGACGTCGGACACACAAGTCGGGGCTTGGGGGATTTCAGCGCCCCGGGATGTCGACATGCCTCACCGTCGGAGGTGCGTACCGACGACTTCGATTTGCGGGGCCTTGTTGAGACCGAGGAGGAGCGGGATGTCCGCCTGGACCGAGAGGAGGAGGAGCGGTTGCGGACTCTGCCTAGATGGGAGGGTCAGTTCGCGTACGTAGAGGAGCAGCGCCAACAGAGGGACTTGGAGACAGGAGGGTGGGGCGGCTTTGACGCCGACGACGGGGTTGTCCCTACGGAGCCAATTCAGGCAGACTTGCGAGAGGGTGGATGCGGTGACGATATGGATGTGGGTGGCGATGGGGAGAGCGACACATTGTGTGACGAGGGACGGGATGTCGCCGTGGGCGGACGATCTCCCCGTGGTGGAGGCGGTGGCGACGGCGAGACCGCGGGTGATGAGGGACAGGGTGCAGCCGTGTGTGGCGGGGGAGAGGGTGGACCCGGTGGAGATGGGGATACCGCAGCTGACGAGGGGCAGGGTGCCGTCGCGGGTGGTGGGGGAGACGATGGACCCGACGGAGATGACGACGACGACCACGGTCGCGAGGACGATGCGTATAGGCTCGCCTTGGTCTTGAGGGGCCCCACAGTCCCCCCCTTGCGCCCCGACGACAGAGCGCACCCTTTCTTCGACGCCAACGCTTTGGCGCAGGCACTGACAGAGGACCCTTTCCCACATACGGGCTGCAGGAGTGGAGAGAGACGGCCCGCTGAGGGGGCATATTCACTGCCGCTGTATGTAGTGCAGAGCCCTCGATGGTCGGGTTCGTCGCTCAGCGGCGTGAGAGGGAAGGAGTCCAGGGCGGTTGAGGTCGGGTCGGGCCGACGCAGTGAGGGCGGCGGATGTGCAGGATCGATTCCTCCACCACCCACACGGGCCGCAGAGGCGGGCGTCGACGTCGACGACGAGACGCCGGCACCCGGAGTTGCGCACAACGGCGCTTCCCCGCCGCCGGTCCGAGGCGGTGTCGGCGGCAGATGGTCAGCTCATTGACGGGTCGGGGACCGCTTGAGGGCGGATTATGACGCAGGGAGGGGCGTCTTCGTGGGACGTTTGCCAACTCAGACGCAGGCTGCGGAGGGTGGGTCCTGACGTCCGAGCCTTCACATGGCAGGTCGTATGCTCGATTTGTCATGAGCGGCGACGAGGAGATCATTGGTCCTCCAGGCCGCAGGGACATCGACGAACATGCAGCAGGGACAGCTGCACACATCGGGCGATGAGGGGTTGTTGATGCGTCCCGAGACGAGACGACACCGCGGCATCATAGAGGTGGAGGCTCGACTCGCAGCAGAGGTCGCCCCAACCAGGCAACGTTGGACGCGATTCAGAGGCAGCGAGATACGGTTGCTGCACAGGCGGCAGAGGACGACGACGCAGACACAGAGTCTGAGCCGCTCGAGAGTGTGGTCCGTAGACGCAGAGCGGCCGTGGCCGCGGCAGCTGCTGCAACACAGGCGGCATACATCAGCGGTGCGGAGGGCACAGGTGCCGGAGGGAGAGGAGGGCGCCCGGGAGGACAGCATGGCCGATCGTCCTCGGGGAGAGGCCGCGCGCGTCCTCCTGCAGGGAGGGGCATGGGCCGCTCTTCTGGGAGCAGATGACGACGCCAATGGTATTTTTTTTAACTCATTACTTTTTTTTTTTTGGATGGACATTTTTTTGGCAGGGTAGTTCCATATTTATGTTGATGTTGTTCCATGGAGATGACGACGTTATGTGGGCCTTACGGTTTTTTTTTTTTTTTTTTTTAGCTGCTTGGTGTTACGGTAGAGACGATCACGTCGAGGGGTGCGGTTTTTGGCTTTGGCCTTGTACATACACATTTCCATTGAAATGCTTTGTCACTGATTTGTTTTTCTCCATGTTCCTCTTCCACCCTCGGTTTTGCATATGAGTCGCTGTTGTTTGGTGAGCGGTTTCTGGTTTGTTGTCGTAAATGTCCCCGACACAGTATTGTTATCGCAATGTTGCAAATCATGTGTTTGTCGGATGCCACGCACATGCATGTCATGGTTGCCCCCATTATGAATGTGTTGTGAATTTCGTATGCCAAACAGGGATGATATGCTAATGAATGTGTTGTTTCACGAACTTTCACCAGCCTCATGAATGAACACACACTATGACACAATTGCCTGTTGACATTGCTTAGAACTTATGGTTGTCCACATTGTGATTCATTATGAATGTTTAGTGACTTTGGTATGCGAAATAGGGTATGACCTATGATTCCTATGAATGTGTTGTTTCAAAAAATTTCACGAACTTTCGACACCCTCACGAATGAAATTGACGCCTGCCTAAGGCCCTGAGCTGCCCGGGGTCTGCCATCCGCACCCCCGCCCAGCCCCCACCTGACCCGCCCGCCCTGCCCGCCCCAACCCGACCCCCATCCAACCCCCATTAACCCGCCCCCGCAGGGGTCAAATATTTTTTTTAATTATTTTTCATGTGTTCCCGACCCTCTTCCCTGCGCACCTGCATCGACGAAACGCCACTCGGGGGACGCACGAATTTTTCCGGCCCGCCCTTTCAGGCCCATGTGTAGGACCCCCCCGTTTTTTATTCGACGGTCTGCCACTTCGAGGGGGTGCCCCCCCCCCCCCACCGTAAACCCGCTCCCCGCTCCCAAAACCGCCTCCCCGATCGGTCGCGGCCTCGGCCGAAAATTCGCGGCCAGACCGGCTGCGGCTCGGCCGCCGGCCGCGGCCTGGGCCGGACCCGGCCGCGGCCTGGGGGGAACATAGCTCTGTTCCGCGGCAGTTGCAGAATAGCAGAACCCAAGAGAATAGAAGTGTCGGACCACAAATCCGGACCACAAATCCCCCCACCCCGGGGGCGTAACCTGTCGGGTTCTCCTCCAATCCCAAAAAGAAGCCGAGGTGTCACAGGATATCCACAGGTGACGAAGGTCCTCAACATAGTATCCTCTGCAACATCTGCGACAAAAAGGCTGGCCTTCGCGAGTCCTGCGGTACATCAGGCATGCCGTGAGTAGATGAACTGTGAAGACAGCGGCCAGAAACCAACAAGAATCCGCCCAAGTGCGACTCGGTTCACGACGAGTCCCACTAGCAAAGGGGATAATATAGAAATCCTGAATCTGGCTATGTTTTATGCAGAGATACAGAAAACCAGTTCTATCTCCGTTTCCTACTCCTATCCTCAAACAAGTCCAGATTCAGGCATTTAATCCTATGCTTTTTGCTAATGGGACCACAGCCCACGGGCGTGGTCTCACTGGCAAAGAGGAGCTGATCAAATGCCTGAATCTAGACGAGGTAATGCCAAATGTGCAGAAAACCGGGATTGAACTGATTTTCTGCATCTCTGCTTAAAACACATCCAGATTCAGGAGCTCCATCCTATCCTTTTTGCTAGTGGCACCTCGGCCCAGGTGGATTGGGCCACGTCACAACAATCATGGATCATGGAATGGATGGAAGACGGTCTAAGCGTATACACTCAGACTCACACTTGTTCAGAATGCATCTGACCGCAATTTCGGCCGGGCCTGGATGCATCTGACCCGAATCACGTCCATAAAAATAAGTAAAAGAAGTCCCAGTGTGAGTATGCCTACGCGTATGCTCACACCACCAGTAGGACTGCTTCGAATTTTGTGAGTGGACGGCCAGGTGCATGGAGGCCGGCGGCCAAGTCCCACTCGTTTCCTGAATTCTCGATTTCAGACCCTACGTACAGATACATTTTCCAGGTTGACTTGTGACCAATAATTTTCATTGAGTAATAAAGGGATTTTTCAGCACCTTTCTTGAACCAAAAAACAAAAACGAAAGTCTTTGTATTTTATACACCTAAGAACAACAGCTGGATGTGCAACTCCCGATGCATCTCAGAAGTCGCGGGGTCACAGGCGTTGAGCTAGTTCAACGTTGAACTGGCTCAACGGTGTATGTGGGATGTGGCCCCGGGGTACAGCCATATATTATTTTCTCACCTGGCGTTCTGCCATGTCATGGAACATATCTTTGTTTCATTACCTACCTACCACTACTCCTAAGGGCCTCGCCACACCACTCTCGAAATGTGAAAAAGACAAAAATGTGGCGGGTGCATCTGGCCATGTTCTAGCAGCAAGTTAGTTCTCATTTTGCACATTTCCAGAGGGGTGTGGAGATGCCCTGATGCCCTAAGGGTCTAGACACACCAATGTCGAAACTGTAGTTTTCTTTGCCACACAGACTGTTGAAGGAAAAAATGTCAAAAACACTTCGATATTTGTCAGAGAAGTCCTTTGGACATGGGTGTGGAATGGCCCGCCTGCAGCGTGTCCAGTTTCAACATCTCCGAAGGGAGGTTGTGAAGGATGTGTGGATTTTAACACCTGCCAGGGTCCGGGAACTGTCTCTGCCTCAACATCCCGTGTCTTCTTCTTCTTTTTCTTCAACGAAACTTTTGTAGGCGGCCTTTGTATCGAAACCATGAATGTCAAAAATGGTCTGAAACTTAGGGCCTGGCCACACCAATGTCGAAAACTGCACTTTCAACATTTTCTCCTCGCCACACAGAATGTTGAAATCCGAGATGCGAAAAAAAATCAGGAGCTGTAAGGGAAAGGGTTTCGACACCTCCTGTCGAGAAGGGCTCGTTTCCCAGCCTGCAACTTGGACATTTTCAACAGTCCTCGGATGGGATGTCGAATTCTTGCCCGAATGTCAAAAGGGAGAACACACCAACGCTTGTCCTATATTCACCCCAGTTTGTCTCTTTTGTGCATAGGACTTGTGAGTTCTTCACTTCTACATGCCGTGTGGAGAAGAGGGTTTTTCTGTCGAAAGAGGGAATGTCGGAAATTTCCTGGCATATGCCGAATTTAGTGATGTTTCGACATTGGTGTGGCGAGGCCCTTATCTACGCGGCCTTTGTGTCGACACTGTGAATGTCGAAAATGGTCTGACAACTGGTGAATATTTCACGGTTTCTATACTGGTGTGGCGAGGAGAGGAGAGTAGACTGTCCAGCAAATGACAGTGACAACATGAGGATGGAAGAGAAAGATACACTCATGACTCAGCAAACCATCACGCATGCCAATAGTATTGAAAATGAATCCGAAATCCCAGATTCTGAAAACACACGAAAAAATCTTCCGAAACAATAGTACAATGGCAATCCCTCGAGGTGTTTCGTCTGTGCACCGTACACAGACTCTTCAGGAGGAAGACATCAATACGAAGAGATAGGGCCATTCCTCGTGCCTTGCCCTATGTATAGTTAACCAACCCCAACTCACAACCGGCCCCTTAATCCCCCGGGTCTACTAGTCATCCGTACAATTCGTTGGTATGAGTAATGGGACGACAACCAATGATTCCCCAGCCAATTAAGTGAGTAGAGCAGCTTTGCTGGCACAGAAGTCGTCTTCGGCAGCAACCACCTGCATAAGCAACACATCATCACAGCACCGAACAAACAGGGACGCATGGAAACACAATGAGAGTACACAAGGAAGACAGCTCCGGCTGATAGCTTCCTCCCCTCCGGGTCGTGTACGAGCTGTCGCACGTAATTAGCTGCCACGGAAGTACAGCTGTACTGGATATGGCAGCTCCAGTCCTCCGGCAAAGGAAGCGGAAGATGTAACTGTACGTCGGTGCTGACAGACGAAGTATGCGAACCAGAGAAACTACGCGCGTACCCTCCAAGCATCCCATGTCACAGAACAGAGAGGCTGGCGATGTCGAGCCCTTCTGGTTTATATCAGACGGAAGGCGCATACAGTCTTACGATACCCAGGTGCGAGCGTGCCCTCACAACCGTGTGAGATCTGACGGACAAGAGAGTATCGGTCCATCCGACAGTGGTATAGCCCCTAGTGCCAAAAAATTACAAAGCATCATTCTGGTGGTGCAAAAAGGCGCGAAATGCATTCTCGGAACCCCCCCCCGTGCTTCGAGGCGCAAACAGTTGCTGCATAGGAACTTGCCCCGAATGAAGGCCAGGTGCCCTTTCCAAAAAAAACACCAAAAATTGAACGAAGTATATTTCTCGGGGCAACTCAAAAAACCCAACGCTCATAGGCTACAACCAGGAACTTGTCTCGAGTGAAGGCCAGGTGCATCCCAAAAAAGGCCAAAATTACCCTTGGGGCAGGTAAAGCTCCGCCTGGGATTCGACCCCCTTTAGTGTACATATGTGTTCGTAGACCCTGAAGGTCTGCTTGGCAACCTGGGCCAAGCCCCAATTATGCAAAAAGCCTAAAAAGTGAAGAGAAAGTGGTGCCCGGTTGCAGTTCAAATAATAACCTATGCCACGCTCTCAACGAGCACAGGCTGTCAGCACCTCAGATGGCTTCAAACCCATTTTCTCCCCAAATCTCCTGAAAGTAGATAATACCAAACGAAGAGGGTAACATCTCAATAAGAGCTCCGTTTTTACTGCCGAAACAGCCTCATGTCTACCCCAACGATCTGAAGTCAATCGGAATCGGAAAATTCGATGGAGGGTGCTGATAATAGCCAACTCGTCGTTCTTGGAGTGGTTTGGGGTGTGGGTGCTTGGAGTGGCCCAGACGGTAGGTTCTTGGAATGACTCGGTCAGTTGGTGATTGGAATGGCTCGGTCGGTAGGTGCTTGAGTCGCTCGGTCGGTAGATTCTTGGAATCGCTCGGGATGTGGGTGCTTGGAGTGGCCGGGGTGTGGGTGTGGATGCTTGGAGTGGCTTGGAGTGTGGGTGTGGGTGCTTGGAGTGGCTCGGGGTGTGGGTGCTTGGAGTGCCCCGGTTGGTAGGTTCTTGGAATGGCTCAGTTGGTTGGTGCTTGGAGTGGCTCGGTCGGTAGGTGCTTGAGTCGCTCGGTCGGTAAGTGCTTGGAGTTGCTGGGTTACAATGTGCTTGGAGTGGGGGCGTGGGTAGGTGCTTGGAGTGGCTCAGTGGGTAGGTGCTTGGAGTGGCTCAGTGGAAAGGTGCTTGGAGTGGCTCGGTGGGTAGGTGCTTGGAGTGGCTCGGTGGG